GGCGGGCGGCGGGGCACCCCGCTTTTCCCGGTTCCCCCCCGCGCTCCCCCAGCCACATCTTTTCTGCGTTAGCAGGCGGAGGAAAGGCGGGGGCTGATCACAACCAGATGGGGCGGGTGTTAAATCATCACAGCCAGGCCAGGACGGGCGTGGAGGGAAGCGCGCAGGCGAAGGAGAGAGGGGGCCTGGGTTTCCCCGCTTCCGAGAGAGGCAGCGGGCCGGGAAACAGGCCGGGCCGGGCCGGGCCCGCGGGATGGACGGTGAGGAAGCAGCCCTTGTCCTGGCGAGGAGGGGAGGGCGGATCGGGGCTCTGCTGCGCGCGCTGCTTTGTGCCCACGCGCCCAGCCTCGCTCTCCGAACTGGGAGAGGGCATTTTCACCAGCATCCAGCTGGCTTGCCACCGGGACGCATGAAAGCTGCCATGCTCAGCTGAGCCGAAAGAGAAGCCATCCAGGGGCTGGAGCATGCGACAGGCTGCATGCGTGCAAGCTAAACTTAGTTAATGTTAGCCTTCATTTGGGATAACTTGTTGCGCTCACTCAGTGTGTTAGGTAAGCCCAGAAGATCCATACATGGGGGCATGAAAGCAACTGTGGTCCCCCTATCAGCTGAGGGAGGCAGAGCAAATCTAGGTTTACCTGGGAGCCCGGCTCCAGGCCAGCTCCTCCGCAACCTTCCCAGCTGATCCGCCCATGCAGCACCTCAGGTGGGCCCAGGTTGTGCTGTTTGTTCCCTGTCCGATGCCTCCCACCCCTGCCTCCCACCCCGAGGCACCTACAGCTGTTTGGTTACTCTTCAAGGAGCCCACCTGGCATTCTCCTCCTCTCTTAGTGACCCCCCAGCCCTGGTCTTTCCCAGGATGGGGATTGTTTAGTTGCTCAGTCACTTCCAACTTTGTGACCGGAGGAACATCATTCTGCCAGCACCGTCACTCAGTAATGGCTTGGGCCATCAGCGACGGGATCCGGCCCCTTGTCTTCCGCCCGCCTCTTTTCCAGGTGGCAGAAGCTGCCCAAGGATATCTCTCTCTGACCCCCGCACAGAGGCTGCATTCACACGACATGCAAACAAACAAGATTCAGAGAGTCAGGTGAACTAGGCCGATGTCTGAACATGGAGGTTCCATTAACCATCAGGAGAAAGGCATCTTCCGGGACTCTCCCTGCTCCTGAAGGGCCGCCCAGATGAAGCTGCTTGCCAGGGCAGCCCTCAGGCGCCCCGAGCTGCATCCCCAAAGGCGGCGGGTGTGGAGCTGCCAGCCTCAGCAGGAGCGCAAGCAGCTCCCCGGTGGGGATCTTCCACGGGGGCCAAGACATCCTGTTCTGGGCCGCGCCGGCTGATGCTGTTCTCCATCCGTCAGCTGCAGATGGCTCCCCTGGCCCAGTTGGCCAGCTCAGCGCCTGGCAGGGATCTCCATGGGATTCCAGGGCCACGAGCTAGGCTGGGAAGCTCCAGAGCCTCGCTAAGGGTGGCAAGAGACCCACCCTCGGCCGCACCCCAGGCGTCCTCTTCCTGAGCCCAGCCCAGCAGGGAGAGGACCCCAGCACGGCTCCTCTGCTCCAAGGAGCAGGGAGGGGCAGGCCACGCTGCCCTCCTCTCCAGGCGCAGCCAGGACTGCCCCAAAGGCGCAGCACCCTCCGTGCCCTCACCACTCTGGAGGCTGATCGTTCAGGCCAAAGGCCAGGACCTACACCTGACCCCCCCCCTCTTTTGAGTCCTATCTGGATCCAGACTCTGCCTGCCCCCCTGCAGCACATATACCCACCACAGGGCTGCGGCCTGAGTGATGGTCAAAGTCTTTATTTCTATCAAAGCTTCCAAAAAGGAAGGGAAGGCTTTTCATATTAAGAACAAATCAATCTTTGGTACTGCTTAGAATTAAAAAAAAAAAAGGCAGGTAGAAAGACAAGGAGGGCAAGTACACTTGAAAGCCCCCCCCACACACACGCACACCCATGCAGGAGGCAGCCAAAGGAGAGAAAAGGAAGCCCAGGAGGGGCTTGTGGCAGTCTCAGGGAAGGCACAATCCAACTGGAGCAGAAGATCCTATTTACAAGCAGAGGGACAAGGCTCCCTCCCAGGCGGCGGAAGAGGAGCCAAGCGAGCTGGGGCCCCGCACGCAGGCAGTCGCGGGACGGCCACCAAAGGGCCTGCTCATGGAGTCCCGGGGCAAGCCATGGTCCGGAGTGTTTACCAGGGTCTCCAGAGCGAGTCTGCTGGGAGCGATGGGGCACCGGATCCTGAGGAGATGGTGGCAGCGGCAGGGGGAAGGCCTGAGCCCAGTCCCCCGTTGGTGTAGAGTGGGATGACCGCACTGCCGTGGGGCGCAAAGGCTGTGTTGGGGATGAGGAAGGCAAACTGCCCGTCAGAAGCCGGCACCAGCTGGAAGCCACCACACACCTTGGTGCTCTCCCCAGCTGGATTGCTCAGCTTGCAAGAAGCCACGCTGCCAGAAGGGGGCGCTGCACCAGCCGGGATCTGTACCAGAGGCTGCCCAAAAGAGGCTCCGTGCTGGGCCCCTGGAGCTGGGGGCAGTGCTGCAGACTGTGGGGTGGGGTAGTTCAGGGCGCTGATCTGACTCAGACAGCTGGCCAGGTGTCCAAGCAGCCGGTTGCGTACCTCCGTGTTCACCCCCTCACAGGTGGAGAGGAAGCGAGTCACCTCATTCATGCATTCGTTGAAACCTGCCCGGTATTTGCACAACACTGTGGGATCCGTGTTGAGTGCAGCTGCAAGGGAGGGAAAGAAGTGCAGCAGTTGGGGGAGGAACTGGAGATTGTGGCAGGCAGGCAGGCCGGCGGCTCCAGGCCCCTCTCCCCCACACGCGGCTGAGCGCAGGCACGGGCACCCACCGTGTGACTGGCGGCTGCTATTCTCTCCCCCCCCTCCCGCAGGAAGGGTCTGAACCAAGCCAGGCTGCAGGCATCTGGGCCTCTGGGAACTGGACACCCACGAGCAGCAGGAGGCTGCCTCCCCTGGCCTGCAAGCTGCCGCCCCCCCTCCTCCTGCCCCACGGCCGCCTGCTTTTCCGGAACAGGAACGGCTTGGAGTTGTGGCTATAAATAAGAGCCAGACCGTGGGAACGTGTGCCTGAGCCAAGTCAGTAAAAGGCAGCTTGGATGGCATTCAAAACCACAGGCGGAAGTCTGAAAGAAGTCACCCCTGAAGATGGGGAGGAGGAGGGGGGCCAGCCGCCTGGCCACTCACCGGTCATCTGGGCCCGCTGCAGGCTGCGCAAGTGCTTCACCGTCATCTCGAGTATATCAGCCTTTTCCAGTTTGGAATGTCGGGAGCTCTGCGGGGCAAAGAGGAGGCAGGAGGGACATGAGCACCAGTGGGGATGGGGCTTTAGCTCAGCTGGACGCCAAGAACAGCCTCCCTTTCTGGCTGGAGGAACTTCCCCCAGAAGGGAGAAATGCCTTGCCCCATCCCCAGAACAAGGAATCAGGCTGGCGGTTGTCACCGGGCAGCAGAGGCTCCCTCCCCACAGGTCAGCAGAGGACCTCAGACGCCCCTTCCACGCGGAGGGGAGGACTAGGGAGACTCCTTCCTGCCTCTGGCTCCTACCAAAGTCGCGTCCCCCCCACCCCCCGCACCACGGCAGTCCAGCACATCTGGACACGCACTGAGGCGCCCCAGGCTCGTCCCGTCGAGATTCCCGCTGGGGAGCCGGGCCTGGAGCATCGAGGGGGCGTTCCTCGCCGAGCCCTTTTGTCACCCCCGTCCCAC